TGTAAATAAATTTTTACATAACCAGCAAAAAAGAATTAAAATTAACATTAGGAAATACACTTAAATACACTTACTTCCACTTGCTAGAACCTTAATACTCCATTTAATGACAGGAAGCCAGCATTAGAGAAGAAATTAGAATATCTCCAAGAATAAGTTTGGGAGTAGAAACAACTTTGGAAAACCTCCTTTCTTACTAACAAATATTAGGTTAAATATTCTGTAGATCAGGTTAAAATTCACTGAAGAATCTTTTCTTAAGAAAATATTTTATATGAACAAAAATATTTTAAGTATCTTCAAAATGCCAAATACCCTTACAAATTCTGGGCTAAAGTACTAGCGAATAAGATGATTCCTTGGCATAATGGAGCTTGGAGAAGAGGTTGATAAGGCAGATAAATGTGGTAGTAGGGAGGTATGATGAGAGAGTTCCCCAGTGAGGGACATGTGACTTAACATGGAGACATGGATGGCCTTCTGGTGGAGATGACATTTCAGCCAAGGCCAGATGGCTGAGTACAAGTGACCTAACAAAAGAGGAAGGGAAGGTAAGAGCAGTCAGTGTCTGACCCAGGAAAGGCCCTGTAGTTTGCAGAAGTTCATTGTGGCTGACACACAAGTGCAGGGGACAGATGAATGAGTGGTAGACTTGAAGAAGTAAGCAGATACTGTCACCTGTGGCTTGGTGGGGTGTGAAAGCTGGGGGAAAATAATCTTATTTCCCAAAGGAACAAACACTATGCTCCCTTGAAGTAGTTGAAACAATCGTTCTATGCATATAGCTTTACAAGGCTTTTATGGACTGGCCTACTTTTGAAATGACTCATAGTTCACATTGTTTCTATAGAAAAAATGGTTTATACTTCAAAAGCTGTCATATAATTTAAGTTTCTTTTTTTTTTTTTTTTCAGCCATTTGGGTGATGCTTGGGTAAGCACACACTTATAGAACTTTTTGCTATTTACACTAAAATTCTGTTGTTGTTGTTGTTTCTTTTGATGGTGTTTACCTATGTGGCTACAGTGTTTATTTTTCTAACTGTGATATATATCAAATGTGTCATTCCACAAATGTGATTGAACTTTTATTCCATGATCATATTTTGAAAACAAATAGAAAACTATTGTAACAGATCATTTGGTTTTCAAAATGCTTGTTCTTAAGAGTTAAGGATCTTGTCTGTTAAGTCTATAATGGTATGTTTTAGATATCATGGAAGCAGGAAGCATGAAACAACATGAAAATGATTGTAAATTGAAAGTAAATGATTGGCATGGCTTCACTATTGGAATGAATGCAGAAAGTAAGTAATAAAAGGATAAAATGGCAAGCTTTTAAAAATACTCTGGTAAGTTAGTGCTCACGATCATCAGCATCACCAGCTATTGATAACATTAGAAGCACTCAATGTTTTAAAACAGCAAAGAGCTCTTAAAGCCAGTTCCTTTGTAAAAATAAATTTAAAGAGCTTCATTTTATTTAATAAACTAAACTCCAGGAAGAAACTCTTTAATTCCCCTATCTATATAGTTAGTATCTTTGGCCTCCATCTCTGTATTGGTGCAAATGCCTTCAGCTGGCAAGGAACAAAGGCCCCAATAGAAAATAGTTTCAGTGATAAGTATATTTTATTGTCATTTAACTAGAAAATCTGGTTTTATACTTTGTTAGCAGCTAACTGTGATCATCAGACTGATTCTTTCTGTCTTTCAATTCTATAATTCTGGAGATAGTTGCCTTCTGTCCTGAGACTTTCCTCCTTGTGGTATCAATATGGCAGCTTTTGTTCTTAGAAATTTTATATCAAAAGTTCTTAAGTTTGTAGGAAAAGAAGATGTGTCTTTTTTGTCTTACCTGAGAGTGATGGATATTTTCAGAAGCCTCTTAGAAGACTTCACTAGCCAAAATTGCATCTTATACCCATTTCTAAGTGGTTGAGGGTATAGAAATCCTATGTTTGGCTTAGCCTACTTGAGATTCATCATCCTCATCCTTCCCAGGGTGGACAAAATTAGTTCTCTTACCCTGATACATGCCAAAGCCATTTTGGGGGGAGGGGGACTGAACTCTTACCCTTATCCATTTCTTCTTGCCTTTCTTTCAGTCTCTTACCCTCTTCTTGTACAAGCTTACTTTCTTTTTCTTTTTTCTTTTCTTTTCTTTTTCTTTTTTTTTTTTTTTTTTTGGGTCCAGTCGTGAGGCCTGAACTCTGGGCCTGGGCGCTGTCCCTCAGTTCTTCAGCTCAAGGCTAGCACTCTACCACTTGAGCCACAGCGCCACTTCCGGCCTTTTTCTTTTTGCTTATGTGGTGCTGAGGAATCAAACCCAGGGCCTCATGCATGCAAGGCAAGCACTCTACCACTGAGCCACCTTCCCAGCCCCTTACTTTCTTATTGAAAGGACACGACTGTTACTTTCTTCATCCTCCCCTCTCAGCTGTTGCTTACAACTTTCAGTTTTCAAGGACATAATGATAGACTTAGAAAATATCACTATCTCAGACAGGCAGCAGCATCAGACACTAATAGTACTGAAAACATTAAAAGACATATAATGTATTCTTTGGGATGGAAATATCTGGCTCATCTAACATTACTGCAGAGCATCTTCTCTATGTGATTTCCCTGTTGGGAAGGAGATGCAGAGAGGAGGAAGACACATCACTGCTCTCCAAAAGCCAGGAGTCAGCATTACTGGTTCTGTAGTGGCCTTTTGCTATACAAACCTGTGCTTGTAGATCTGAGGCTCTATTTTTCTTTTTAAAATGTGAATGCTTTTGAGTGTATGCTTCCTAAAATAAAACTCTTTCTCTCATTTTCCTCCTCTGATCAGGGAGCAACTTTATTTTGGTGGATGGAGCTCTTTAATACTTCCTACTCTCCTTTCCTAATGTGTTAGGATTCCTCCAGAGAAAATGATGACAGTGAAAGGGCAGGGGTGGGGGTGGGGGTGGGGGGGGTGGTGAGGTGAGGTGATGGGGCGGGGGTGGAAGATTGTGCTTTTTTAAAGAATGGCTCAAATGGTTACAGGAATTGACAGGTCTGAAATACATAGGACAAACTGTGTGGTCTATGTAGTGCCATGGTTTTGTGTTTTTATTCCTTTTGATAGTGGTTTTACTATATTTTAAATCATTACTTGTAGAGAACTAATGTGCTCTATAGTTTTCCTAAGTGCAGAAAGCTTGTAATGTACCTTACAGAGAAAATAATGTGCTATGGTAAGCATCATTTTGACTTGAGTCACATTGCTGTAGATTATGTATTAAATGTTTGTGAATCAATAGTATATATGTTTAATAAGGCATGTCAAAACAGAAACATGCATAAAATAAGGGTATTTTTGATTTGTTGATGAAAATGTAACCTAGAGCTCCTAGGAACCTGGTCCTGTGTCCACTAGGAGCAGTAGTTTGGTACACAGTAGGCCTCTGGTATTGTTGGGTATATGGCTCTAAGAGACTACTGTTAAGGAAAAAAGGCACACTTAGGCTGCAGAGCAGAACTATACTAGAGATTTTCACTTTATCTTTTTAATTAAGCCACTGTTTACCTTGCCTTATGGGCCCCATTTGTTTTGGGGGAGGCATAGTTTTGTTTTAAAGGGCAGATCACACAACTATTTAAACACAACTGACAATACAGCAAGAACTGATTGAGAGCTTCTTCACATACCTGTGTAGAAATTTCAACTTTTTTTTAATTTCTCTTGATTTTTAAAAAATATATTAATTTTTGATCATGCTTGGTCAGACCATGTAATAAAAAAAATAAGGTGGGCTTCTGTATTCACTAATTCAGTGTTGATGATGACTTTATAGACCTAACTGCTTGTGAGTAATGAGAGGCAACTGAAATTTTGCCTTGTTTGAATTTTTTAGAGGTTAAATTACAATTTTAATAATATGACATTTTCAGATTGTATGTATTAAACTTCCAAAACCTTTGATTTTATGAATTATATGAAACAATCAAGCCATTATTGGAATTGACTGATCTTTCTACATGATACAACCCCTGACACTGATAGGAAGCTGCCATCATTAAACTGTGAATTTTTTCTAGTAAAGGAGCCAAAAAAAAAATGTTTATTTCTTGACTTTAATTATGTACAGAAGATAATTTTGAATCAGAATCAAAGGAAATTTTTAAGTCATTTCATCTAGATAAAAAAGTCATGGTTTATAGAGTAATATGTATGTAAAACATCTTTTTCCATCTGTTTTTTTTAAAATTGCTGTCTTCAAAAAAGTCATAAGAAACAGCAGCAGCATTGGATATTTCTTGTATAATGCTTTGGCAGGTGGGCTGGGTATGGTCTGAGCATGAGGTGTCTGTTACAGTACTTACAGAGGTGGGCCAGCTGTTTGTCAGACTTAACCACATGTTGACAACTGGCTTCACTGCCTATATCTCTCACATATGGCTGTATAGAATCATGGCAGAACCTGAAAGTAAATCATAAATAAGTGCCAGTTATTTCTAGTACAACCAGAAAAATCACTGGAAAATGAAAAGTCTAAGACAATTGGTAAATTGAGTGTGACATTGGGCATAAATTAGGACTGTCTCAAGCAAACTGGCCCACATGGTTACTTTATCTAGTTTTGTGTCCCTTCCCAAAACTACTATCAAGCTCTTAATTACTATTTCTTCATGAAAAAGCCTGTGTCCTCAGTCTGATTCACTTGTTTATGACCATTTACAATTCTCACAGCATTAGGTACACAGAAAAGAATGTTGAGCATTTTTCCCAAGCCAATTTTACTCATTGTGACATTTTTTCCCTTTTCCAGAATATTTTCTATTCATCTTAAAAGTTATTAAATTTTGCATGCTTTCACTTTTAAACTATGCAATTATTGTCACTTAAATTAGTTCTTTTGTCATCTTACTACAAATATCATGCAGTAATTAAAATGAAAGTGGGTTTTATATATTTGATAAAAGCAGATTATCTGAATATGATTATAATACAACTTTATATTCTATTTACAGAATTAATTTTAAAAGATGTACTGTATAAATGACTACACGAACCTTGAGAAATAGGTAAGTGACAAGTATTTTTTGAAGTAGATATTTCTGGAACATTAAGTAATTTGTCCTTATAGGTCCTTGCAAAATATGCAGTGAAGTATAACTTACTTTAGTGATTTATTTCTTTTTTTTCTCTCTCTCTTTTTTGTTGGTCATAGAGCTTGAACTCAGGGGTTGGGCTTTTTTGTGCAAGTCAGCACTCTATAGCTTTGAGCCACATCACTACTTCAGTTTTCTACTAGTTAATTGGACATGGGCTTTCCTGCCTGGGCTAGTTTCAAACTGCAGTCCTCAGATTTCAGACTCTTGATTAATAAATTAGTAAAAATACATCAATAGGACATAGAAATGAAGCATGTTCCCAATTTACAGCACTTGAATTATTAAATGCAATATAGTACTCTGGGTTATCCCTAGAATCTGAAAAAAATAGATAAAATATAAATGAAGTCTATATTTTGTTCGTATTAATATATCAGTTCTTAGTTTCTTAGTTTTTTGTGCCATGATTTTGTAAGATATTAGTTTTATGAGTAACTGAAGATATACAGAAACTCTGGATTACCTTTGAAACTAACTCTTTGAAAAATCTAAAATAAGTTTATTTAAATCACAGTCAGTGTATACTGGTTTGATAATTACAATTTAGATGTACCTTTTCTCTGTTTTCTTTTTTTTTTTTTTTTGGGGGTCCGGTCGTGGAGCCTGAACTTTGGGCCTGGGCACTGTCCCTCAGCTCTTCAATTCAAGGCTAGTGCTCTACCACTTGAGCCACAGCGCCACTTCTGGCTTTTTTCTTATGTGGTGCTGAGGAATCGAACCCAGGGCCTCAGGCATGCAAGGCAAGCGCTTTACCACTGAGCCACCTTCCCAGCCCTTAGATGTACCTTTTATGTACTTATGTATTCTGTGTAACAGTTTGAAAAAATCAAAATTACTAATGATCTTAAAAATTCCAGACTCTATGCCATAGAAATGGAGAGAAATAGATGGTCCAGAAATTTTGTTTTTCACGTTGTAGGTGAATATTTCAGGTTTCTGACATTAGCATGAGATCATGAGTGTCTGCTTATGCTTTTTTTTTTTCAGGCTTTTTCTTTGACTTCCTTAAGACTTGTGTGTTCTTTGGTGGTTTTTTGCAGCATTTCCTATTAATGCCACAGGCTTTTTAGATGGTTCCTAGTGCATTTCCTCTTTGTTACCTCTTTTTCTTGTTGCTAGTATACTGCTTGGAGACAGAAAAGGGCAAGGATAGGACTTACTAGTTTGGAATTGAGATATTATTAGTGTAGCTTTGTCCAGTCTCACTTACTTGAACTTCTAGGTCAAATGACGTGATTGACCTATAGTTAGTATGAATAGATCAGTTATATAGTCAAATTCTGAGACTAAGCTAAGCTAAAATTGCTGTCAGATAATAGTGATTACCAGTTTCCAAAATTGTCTCTAGCATAAATTTCTATAAATATTAAAAGACTGTAAGAAGGGAGTTCTATAATTTACTGAAATTATTATATAACTTCTAATTTGTAAAGTTAAAATAGCTGTGCAGGTATTATGAATTGTTGGCTGCTTCTGTTTCCAACTTTAATAATTTTAGTTAAATTTCATAAATAGAAATAAAAGTATATTATACTAAAAAGACATAGATGTTTAAAGCAACAAGCTCAGTTTTGAATGACTCTAGCAGGACAGTTGTTAGTTTGGAGATTTTTGTTTTGCTTGATAACTTTTATTTAGAATTTTATTTAGAATTAGTATTATCAGTATGATATGAATAGATTTTAGAACTCTGCTTCTTAGTTATTAACATGATTTCTAATGTTAATAGGAAAAAAAAGGAAGAATATTTTTCTCAGGCCAAACTTAGATTCCATTGATCATACAATAGTTCATACAAAATGAACAAACAAAATAACAAGGTCCCAGGCAATTCTGATGCTGCCAATCTATGGATCTCAATATGAATAATAAGAAGTTTCAGTACCTCATCTTACATAATTGTTAAGAACAAGAGAAAGACTAGAGTACCTTATTCATTATTTCCTGTTCTGATCCCTGGTAAAGAGTCATAGTTTAGCCAAGCACCGGTGGCTGACGCCTGTAATCCTAGCTACTCACGAGGCTGAGATCTGAGGATTGCGATTCAAAGCCAGCCCGGGCAGGAAAGACTGGTGAGACTCCTATCTCCAATAAACCACTAGAAAACTGGAAGTGGCGCTGTAGCTAAGGAGTAGAGCGCTCGCCTTGAGCTGAAGAGCTGAGGGACAGCGCCCAAGCCCAGAGTTCAAGCCTCATGACTGACCAAAAAAAAAAAAAGTCATATTTTTAAAGACACTCAGTAGACACTTATGTTGTGCTTATAATACAGTTAAAAGGAAATTGAAAATGCTGTTTTCCCTCTTATCCCATTTTAAGAGATATAGACAACAAAGTGTGTGTGAAGATGTGTACACATATACATGTATGTGTATGTATTCTTAGCCAAAATAAGGCATGCCAAATGTTAGAAGTTGTTACCTTCTAAGTGATAGCTTTACAGGTCGCATTTTTTCATCTCTATGTTTTTAGCAGATTTTTCATGTTTTGGGAGTGAGCCTACATAATTTTTGAGAATCAGTTATGATAATTAAAACATTTAGAAAGTTCTTTATTCAAACTTGCTTCATGACAGCTTAATCTTGGTGGAAATCAATACTTCCTGTCATTCACTTTTCTCTCTCTAGTCTTCCCAATAAACACCTATTTTATTTTCCTTAGTAAATATGTAAGGCATTTAGTAGTTTAGTGGGGACTTCAGCTGGGGGAAGAATAAGTAGTTTTAAGAAAAAAGATAATGAAATAAAGATTTTAATGAATAATTTGTGTTAAAGATAAAAATGTTTCAAATATTTATTGATATTATTTTTTCACCAGAAGTTTATTTAGGTGCAGAAAGGTTGTATTCTTTTCATTTTGCAAGAATGTGGCAAGGGCAATTTGTGACAAGAGGAAAACTGCTGAGTAGGACAAACTTGGCCCCCAAATTAGCCTCAAAATAGGAGTTCAAAACCAGGAATCTTTTACTTCCGTTTCCTGCACAGGGAGCAGGAAAATTTCTCTCTTTTTCTATTTCTACCTAGTTTAACCCTACTAAAATAAATCCTAGTTAAAACTTTTTTAAAAAGGAGTTTAAAACTAAGTCTCAATAGAATCAGATTAATCTATAAATAACTGCCTGCCAGAAGTCTAGAACTCTTTAAACAAATATGGCAAAAATCTAATACTCATCAACATAAAGTTCATAGATAAATGCATTCAATCAAACATTCACAGATAACAAAGCAGGGGTGGGCGGGGGAAATCAAATCAATAAAAAATGACCCTGAAATGATATAGTTGTTGGAATTAGTAGGCAAACATATGAAAACAGCTATTATAAATGTGATACATATATAGAAGCTTAATTAAGGAAACTTTAGAGAAGTAGAAGTATTGGAACATTAAAAATGTAAAAATAGGGTTATATAACTATTTTAAATACAACCAATACTATGTTGCCAAAATGCACAAAAGAAGAAATTGACAAATTTTCATTTAGAGTTGGAAGTTCAGTATACCTCTGAGTATTCAATGGAGCAAGAAAGAATATAGATGTGCTTATCTACACTATGAGCTACCACCTAACTTAACATTTATAGAATGTTCCACTCAACAAGAGAAGAATATACACGTTTTTCAAGTACACATGGAAAATTCCCCAAGGTAGACAAACACATAAGTACAAAAGACAAGTCTCATTAAATTTAAGATGATGGAAATTATGCAAGCTATGTCTTCTGACCACAAAAAGATGAAATTAGAACCAGTACTGGAAAGATATTGGGAAAATTGTCAACCTTTACCATTAAACCACATACTTCTGACTAATACATTGGTCATAACAAAACAAGTCACACATGGAAGTTAAAAGGCTTTTTGAAGTATAAAGGAAAACTTAAAAAAAAAATGTGGGATGAAGCTATACAAGTATTTAACTTGCCATGCACACATTAGAAAAGAAAACAGATAAAAGATATCTGCTTAGGAAGTTCGATGAAAAGAACAAATTAAAACTTAAAAAAGTAGAAAGAAGAAAATGAGAGTAAAAATGAATGAAATATAATAAAGATAAATGCAGAGATAAGAAGTGAAACAAACGTTTCTTTTAAAAATGAATAAGCCGGATGGGGGACCAAGATGGCGACGGGGCAGTAGGGAAACGCCACAGCTCTCTCCAACCAAAAAGAGAGTTCGAGTTCCAACGTTTAATCTCCCCAAGAGACCGACAACAACAAAAAGACGAACACTCAGAGAAAAACCAGAGGTGGAAAATAACAAAAAAAGAAAGAGAGGAAAAGAAGAATTTCAGAACAGAGAAGAGCGAAGACCCCTCCCCCAACCTTTACTGGCCGTGAGGCAGTGCGCCAAGCCGCCGGCCAGCCGGCCCGGCGGGGGCTGCCGGAGCCACAGAGACACAGGGGGCTGCTTGCAGATCACCAGGTACCGGATTGCAGAACAGTGGATCGCAAGGAACAGAGAAACCTACCAGCCGTGAGTCTCCACGAGGATCCCACCCCCACCCCTCACTCTCCACCGGAGCGGAGAGGCTCCATCCCGCCAAAGCCGCCCGGCACCAGCAGCGCGACAAAGGGACCTGTCCGCAGACCACCCGCCCAATCGCGATCGCAACTACCTGGAGGGGGCCGCCCAACCCAGCCCGCAACCACCCCAACTGAACTCGGATTGCAACAGCAACTGACGACCTACAGGGTGAGTACCCATCAGGGGACAGGGAATCCATCAAGGGAGACCACAGCTGGAGGGAATCCCCAGACCCTGACCTAGACTCCCTACCCCAACACCCGGACCACAGGACCCACTAAAACTGGGAACTGTTCGAGAGCTCCACCAGCCTGTGGAGCACACTCTGCTGGCCAGGCCAGAGCAAGAGCGCCCCTGGAAGGGAGCTTAAATGCCCAAGCCAGGAACAG